AACTGTACACAATACGGATCGCTAACGGATATCGGTTCGATCAAGTTCACAACGTTCGTCGACTCGGGTTTCGACTCTTTCTCGGGACAGTCTTTTTTCAAGTGGCTGGCTGAACCACATCGATGACAGCCTCCCTTAACTTTCTTCGGGTGTGAACATGCGGATGCCAGATGTCCAACTCCCTGGCAGTTATAACATTTAATTATCTTTCGGCGTGGTGCCAAATCTGCACTCGACGATGCTGGATTTCCTTTAAACGCTGAACTCTCCTTCGTCGACAATTTCCCATCCTTTTGGATTTTTCCTTGATCAATAGGTTTCTTCCATTCGCGATCAGGGAACTTCTTCGGGTGTAGCGTCAATCCTTTAAATGCCTCCAATAAATCCGACTGAGACTCGAACTGCATAATACGTGCTTGATCTCTGAGATTGCGATCAGGTATACCCTCGATGACATAATCGACAACTTCGTCATCTACTATCGGTACCCTATTAGCGAGGATTATTTTATCATGGAAGTAACTCGTGAATGATTCGTCCGTCCGCCATGCTCTCTCTTCGAGCTTCTTGCGTAGGGACAATCTTGATTGACGAAGGTCGAACATTCCCTTCATGGCCGCCAATAGATTTTCTATACCAAGGGTAAGATGATGTGGTTTGGAGTGAAACCACTCGGATGCACGTCCTTTTAATTTAGAGCTTATTAAAATTCTTGTCGCAGCATCATCCAAGGCGTACGACACTCGCAGCAATTGTACCTGCTGTTCCCATTTCCAGAACGTACCCTCACTGCCGTCGAATTCGCTCAACAAGTCGCGAATAGCCCTTACACTTTCGCTCATCGGTGGACCATTACGTCTTCTTCCGCCATCATTCATCTGCGGTGGTCCATGATCTTCGATGTTCTCTCGTCTAACGATATCTAATTCACGTTGAAGAAGAGCTCGTTCTCTTCTAAGTAGTTCATTTTCTCGTCGAATCAAGTCTTTCTCAGTCAAAGGACCTTCAACGGATGCGTCGTTACTTACTTGGCTTTCATTGTCCTTGCCCGCGACGGCATCCCTCGATTCATGGCCCGCGTCAATCGGCTGATCGACACCGCGGCTCTGCCGTGACCTCTGTTCATCCAGTGTGGTCCATATCTCCGGGTCATTGGCAGTCAATCGATCTATCAGGTCAGCTTTGTTACCGGTCGCCGGCAATTTCTTCTCGCGGAGAATGTCCTTAATCTCGGCAAGCGTATACGCACTCGGCGGTCTCGCCATTGTTAGCGACACACTGCACTTCCCTTTTCTATACGTCCTAGCACACAGCGACGTGTTAATAAATGTTTAACCTCAGTCTAAATGTTCGCGACACACGTCGGCACAATTAGCACACAGCAAAGATTCGCGGTACACAGCGCGAATTACCGTCAAAATATTCGCGACACACAGCGCGAAATATTCTATCTCACAGGGATATCGCGTTACGCGTCGATTCACCGCGCGCGATACGTGGACTCGCTTTCTCTCGTACGCGGCGGAACAATTAGCACGCAGCAAAGATTCGCGGCACACAGCGCGAATTACCGTCAAAATATTCGTGGCACACAGCGCGGAATATTCTGTCTTTTAGCACGCAGCAAAGATTCGCGGCACACAGCGCGAATAACCGTCAAAATATTCGTGGCACACAGCGCGGAATATTCTGTCTTTTTGCACGCAGCAAAGATTCGCGGCACACAGCGCGAATTACCGTCAAAATATTTGTGGCACACAGCGCGGAATATTCTGTCTTTTAGCACAAGCAAAGATTCGCGGCACACAGCGCGAATAACCTTCAAAATATTCGTGGCACACAGCGCGGAATATTCTGTCTTTTAGCACGCAGCAAAGATTCGCGGCACACAGCGCGAATAACCATCAAAATATTCGTGGCACACAGCGCGGAATATTCTGTCTTTCTACTCGAGTAACACAAGACACGGTTTTCTCTGCATCGACCACAACACTTGGTCGTACTTTTCAAAGTCCCGTGTATTAACCTCACAGATCCTTCGCTAACTTCTTCTTTGATCCCACTTCTGAAGTTGTAGGTGGTGTTGTGACCGGACGGACAGCGGCCATCCGTTGGCTTCACTCTGGGATCCACCTATTCCTCTGATTTCCCGATCACATAGTGCACTGCTTTCACTGCAAACGGTCACCAGTCCTTTTAGCCTCCAAAGGACAAGGTTGTGGGTTGATGTTTGCTGCGTTGGTGTCGCCAATTTAGGATCCAGTTGCGTGGCATGCACAACAGAATCAGACTCTGCCCAAGACGAGCCTAGTGAAACGCGGAGACAAGGAGCGAATAAATCACACACTTGGTTCTTTTGGGACACAAGGAGTTTATTCCGCAGGGAGCTCACTCCCCCTATCACTATTACAATTCTGACAAACGCTACGGAACGTCTCTATTGTACGGGCACTTTACAACGCGCAACGATTTTGCCTACTCGCATCTACAACCGTTTTAAGGGAGACGCTCAACCGTTAAGTCGACGCTAGGAATGTTCCGATCAAACCGATCACAGATATGCCTCTGGCTACATAATACTTTCACCTGCACGTAAGTGACCAGCAATACGACCGAATATGACCCGGCGAACGCAGACTTTATCAAAGCGCGAGGGATAGAACGACCACATCGCGGTAGTTAACAAAGCGACCTCGAAGTAACGCAGCTTATTTTACGAGAGTGATTCGACTATGACGAGTCGCCTGGTGTTCGGGCTTTTATACCAGAGCCCGGTGATCTCCCCACCGCGAGGTCTTCCGCCAATGAGCGTCGCGCGCCCCACTACGGCGGCGGCGGCGAATCGGCGCGCGGGTATAGAGTCGGCTCCTCGAGAGTTCCCATTTTTGATTTTTCGCATGCAAAGTCGACTCATAAAGAGTTCCTACATTTATTAAATCAGTATTTCCTCACAATTCCTTTTAGATCGTCACAAGGGTGCTCAACTACACTGATTACGATATATAATCATTACGGTAAGTATCATTCTACCGCTAGGAGTTCGGGGTGAGGAAATATTGATTTGTACGTGTAAGATTCGACATCTGGGAACTCGATCGCTCAAAATAAACATTATTAACGGTCGGATTCGCACGACTGTCGGGAAACGATCGGATGAGTAAAACATCGATTTCCATATATGTTTCGCGTGTCGTAGAGATCGTGATTCTGGAGTAATCTGTGACTAACTAGAGTCACTTGCGTGTGATCCAGATCGATGTCAATGATCTTTCCAAGTATGTCAACGAATGACTTAGGTCACTCGGAATCACAATTTCCACCAAGTTGTGGAAATCAATCGGACGCAACAAGAGGCGAATGCGAATCAAAATAAAACATATAAATTAATAACCTCTCGCTTTATGCGCAAACTAAAGAAAGGTGATCGGCACGCGACCCGCGCACGCCCGACACTCGTTTGTGGTCACACATGCGTCCGTTCCTGATGGAGAGTTTGTAATATGCCGGATGGTATCGCGAGATGCCTCCGCATCGACTCATGATGTTATTATGTCTCCATCGACATTGGATCTCAATCTGTCCTTGGAAAGTAACCAACACGAAATCCGGGTGCTAGAGCGCTGCACGCATCGCGAGACGATCAGGAATAAAAGAATGCTTACCAGCATATCGATTGACAGCTTCTAACTATGTACAAAATAAACTTTGCCTAGTCAATCGATAGCCCTCTAAGTTAAAGCTATATCTTTTTGTTTGATATGTGCGGATCCATTGCTAGCCTTAAATTGGGCTAACTAACCTTTATCAAGGGAAGCTTGATATTAGCGTGCTGGGACTTACCCAACATGCTTAACGCATGCATTGCGATGCAGTGGATTCGCACATAACTGTTTTTAATGTGTATATATATTTTTTATGATTTTTAGTTTTACGTAACTTGGAGAGTCTAACTATATACTATCGAACTTGCGGCTCCAAGATACATTATATACATATTTACAAACGCGCCGTGTCAAACCTGCTAGATTTTCCGCGGAGACAACTAACCTTGTTGTCCTTGTCCCTGGTCTTTCTTACGCAGGCCACCAGCGGCAGAGGGGGTCAGGATACGATGATGTCGGCGTCTAAGGTTTCTAGTATAACAAAGGATCTATAGGTTAAACTGTAATCGATTCGACGACGGCTCACTGCCTTTTTTTTTTTTTTTTTTTCTTTTTTTTGTCCCTTTTTTCTTTATTATTTTTTTTTTTTTAAATTTATTTAAATTTTTTTTTTTTTTTTTTTTTTTTTTTTTTTTTTTTTTTTTTTTGGCGTTGGAATCATACGGCGCATATGATCTGCGCAGTGCGCGCGTGCTCAGGTGGGTTGGCAACTTGCTTGCTGCTTGCTGGCAAGCTATCATTGGCTGAAGGCGATAAGCCGCGTATTTTTGAGTCATACAATAAATGATATATTAAATATTATTAATAAATTAGATATCAGATAGTCACTGACTAACTAATAATTAACATTGGTTATCTAAGTCATTAGGTAATAATTTCAATAAATTGTATAACTGGTGAATGATACCAAAATTATAAGTACTATACAGAGATTTAATTAATTAATTGATTAACAAATGATAGTGCATATACACTCATTGTATAATTAAAATAGACTGAGTTGTCAAAGCCTATTGAAGTTATTTCACAAGTAAGTAATACTGGCAGTTATTATAACTGATACAAGTTGGATATCTACTGATTGATATATACAATATTTGATAATTAGTTATTAAGTAGCAACCTAAATAAACAAACAGTGTATTCAATATTAATTGACTAAGTGCTGTTATATAGTGACTTAACCAATTGATTAATAGATACTTAAATATATGCTGTATTAATTAAATTAAGTTGAACTTATAAAGGAAATTCACTCAAACTGTTTATATTGATTGAATTTAATGGACATTATAATTTAAATGAATTGGATATTAATAAATTAGTAGTACAGATAAATTTAGATGTTATGTGCTTTATGAACGTATTAAATAGTTAATACAATATAAGTCTCATGTAATATACGGTGTCTTACTCGACTAATTGACAATATAGAATATATTATAACTAGACTTAAGTGAGAAACCTACTGGAACTTCTCAATACGAGTAAATTAGTTGGGGCCTAGTGTCTTTCCATACTAGACAATATTCTGCAGTGTCTCTTCATATTGGACAATACTCTGCAATGATTTGTACGTATATTGCTGCTACACTTTCTTTGTGATGTAGTGATTGCCTTCTTCATTTATCTAATAGAAGAAATAATATTGTTAGTTGGTCTCATTTAAGATCTATATAATAAGTAAATAGGTTGGCTGTTAATGCTAATATATAGGAGGTGTACAAACATCGGTGCAGGTTCTTCTATATATATAGTATACACTATATGTTATGAGATTTCAGTGCTCTTCATGTGGCTGTTCTTATTAAATCATGTTTTGATCGTTTCTCTGAAATAAATACGTAGTAATTTAGCAGTAGTTTTAGTGCCTACTAATAGATATTAACTAAATGGAATATATATATATACATTTAATATAGTATACAATGATTGTGAATTTTTTATACTCACACATTTTGATGAGCCTTTAATTAAGTGATCTTGACTTCAAATTCCTTTGAAGATAACATATGCAATAATTGAGGAGGATTCCTCATTCGAAGAGCATCGGAGCCTTGGTGGATGGTTGTATTACATATATACTTTATCCTCCTTATGACTCTGTGTAACAAATAACCTTCTGTAGGAATTATATTGATATATGGAACTGTATACATATATACTTATATATAAATTTTATGATTGTTTATATTTCTGAGATAAATATATAGTGATTCGAATAAGTATTCATCATAGATTGTGGTTCTATAAATATAGACATCCACATATATGTATTCTGAATAAATGACTTATTTGTCTACTTAGTGAATAATCTAGTTCTAATGCTATAAGTTAAGTGCATCTTTTGTCCGAATAGGCAATCTACAATATTTTGATTATTAATACTCTTATAGGTCTTATATAGCAATTAGCTACAATTTACAAGACTGTAATTAATAATACACTTTCTATACTTTTGAGATAATAAATAAATATCTGATTTCAAATTATATAAGTTTTTAATCTATTAATTGTGTTATTTGATAAATCGGTGAAAGTGCGCGAATACAACTCGCCTAGCGTTAATAATTATGACTGACATACTAAATACGACATATAATGTGTGCAATCAATTGTTAAATGGTGGTATGTAACTGAGTGAATATCTCATCTTTTGACATTATAACGTGGCCTCATCATCCTGGTCTCCCTTGGAGGTGCCATATGGTGTATGAAGCCTTCTGGAGGCTACTGGTTGTTCATGTGAAGATATTTCTTCATACATCCGATGATCTGCAAAAGATAAGTGTCTACATATATGTCTGCGTGGTTGTTTTTAAAGTTTATATATGGGCATGCAGAGTCACTTGAGGATAGCTCTGTAAACCCATAATAATAATCATATAATTGACTTATTGATAAATACTCACACATGGATAATGAATAGAAACAAGTTATGTGATAGATTTATAAATAATCAGTTAAACATTTTGTTTTAATTCTTTAATAATATTATAAATTTGGATTAAATTGTAAATTCGTTAACTGAGACGTTAAGTTCTATATATTATTATCTAATATAAGTTAAATTCTATTTCTATAAATAATCATGGACTGACACTAAAACTCTTACATTATTGTCACGTGCGGGGTACTACGGTGCTGTATTCCTTATACTTGTACTTGGTGCCTCAATTTCTTGTGTGCCTTTAGCCGGTTGTCGACATTTCATACACTGTTGTGCCTGTACAAATGCATGGATACATATAAGTAACTGACATGTGATACTTCAATAATTATCATATGTGTTTCGCTGTGTAACTTTATATTATATTAAATATTGACAGTTATTAACTGTTCTTACAATAACATTGACTAGTAATGTTTAAGTTCATAATTTTCTTAATTAATCTAAAACTGAGTTTAAAGTATTAATGATAACCGGATATTACTAAATAGCATTGAATTTGCAAGTGGAACAATTATTTCTTATGTTACTAAACACTAATTATTTTACGATATTAATTCAAGTCATCTTAGTTATTATTAATAATATTTGAAATAGCTTATCTTGAAGTAAATAGTATTCTATGAGTAAAGATACATTTATTACACACAGCAATCAATTATCTGATTGTTCATATAGTGATGTGGAATACGCGTATTGAAACATATAAATATAATAAATGACTTATTTGATAACATTTTATCATATAATAAAGCTGTGATTGTGTGGCATTAACCGCCACAAGCTATCTCAGTGATAATTAATCATTAAGTGGTTGTCTCACAGTGAACTGACATTTTATTAAGCCTATAGTGCTTAGAGTATATATTTTGATTTGATAAAGTAGTATGTGATGTGAGAATCAATTCTATAGTCATTCACTTATACAACTGACATTTTTAGTTGTAAATGATATAATAATACTTGACTATTGCTAATAATAATTAAGTATAAACTCTTACATTAGTAATGCTTTTGGAATATTGGATGTATTTTGCATCCATATTATAGTGACTTGAATTCATCTAATGTTTGAACCCATTGATGGTTTCTATTACTGCATTCTCTCGGTTCTATCTGAAAAAGGAGTAAATATTTGATATTTGACACTTTGTCAATAGACTTTTATGCAGTATATTGTGTAATTTATACAATACAAATTTCTCTTGTAATAACTCTGAATTGTGACTAGATGCGCGTATTGACAATATTTCTTAATTGAGTATACATAAGTGCAACTAGGTGTGCGGTGAAATGAATTGCTGTTCTAGACTTTATTAATTATTTGAATATTGAATTGATATTAAATAGCTCAAAAGGTGTTTGGTTTTTGATAACTATTTCAACATAATAGTCAATATCTAATGTTAATTGATATTAAGAGGCCGTAGTGATTAAATATCGAACTGAGTAATAACACTCTTCAATTAACTAGACTTACGTTCTAATGTCTTACACGTGGTAATCTGACTAATTGTTGGATTTACCAGTACTACTGGTCCTTTATCTGTATATCTGAAACACGAAAATAGTATGTGAACTGTTATGATAAGCAAAACTTTTATATATAATCACATATTAATAAATAACTGTGTTAGACATTATTAACCTTATTAACCTAAGTACTTAAATTGACATTTAAATAGCCGAGAGTGTCTGGCTTTAAATAATTTATTTGTCATAATATAACAATGCAATACCTGAATATCAATTGATATTGATAGATTTGTAGTGTTAGTATACTGACTTTGAGTTGGAGATTTTTGTAACTAGACTTACGCTCTAGTGCTATTCTTGCGATATCCTGACTTTTTGATAAGCGACATCCTCATTGGATACTGGCCCTTGCCCGTGCTCCTAAAAAGTACAAATAGTTAGGGATTTGTGCTACGATAAGTAGAATTCTATACAGTTATCTACCAATAATGGTTTGTACTAGTTACTATTAATTTAAATACCTAAATTAATATTAAACAGCTTAGAAGTTATATTGACTCTAAATAGTATATCTACTATAACATTATAGACAATATTTAAATATTAAATGATAGTGTAAAATTTACAGTGCTAAAATATTGAATTTTGAATAAGTAACACTAAATAGATCTGTGCTGTAGTGTCTTACCGTGGAGACTCGTTTTTGATATCTAATGACCTTGTCATATTGTTAGTCCTCCGCTTGAGTGTCTGAAACACACAATTAATAAGTAATTTGTGATGTGATAGTGGAATTTATATAACTACACATCAATTATAGACACTTATGCCAAATATTATCAACCTAAATACTTAAAATGACATTAAAATAGCCTTGAAGACATTTGGTCTTAAATAATTCATTTACCATAATACACTGGGGCTGCGTCTCAGTTCCTCACCTGTGATATTTGACGTTGATATCTAATAACTTTACCAATATTATTAGTCTCCTGTTTGTGTACCTGAAACATACAAATAATAAATTATCTACTTAATGATTGAATCACGGATGATGGGCTGCGTGACTATATTAACCCCAAGTTATGCTGGTGATAATCGGCTATAATAATTAACGGACCTACAATATATTGTAATATCTTTAGTTAATTTTATATTGTTTAGTTCATACCTTGTTTATGAGGATTCATTTATGACTGTACAATTAATGATTGCCCTTGACATCTGTGATGCGATAGTGCAATTTGCCTTTGTAAGGTTATACGCGTTGGTTGCATTCTGTGTGGTTGGAGCATTCTCCTTGTTGTTGCATTTGATGTGTGATAAATTCTGGGAGAGTGTTCTGTCCAACAGTGCTAATATATTAGTATTAACCTAATATAGTTTAACATATATACATTAATTCTGAATTTTGACTATTGTTGCCATCATTATTGATGATTGAGTAATATTACCTTGCACTGCACCAATTGTGTGCTGTTGAGATGATATAATTATTTAAATGTGTATCCTTTGATTTGTTGCATCGTTGAAGTGACATGTAAGAGTTGAGGTTATAGACTCTCTCCCAATTGAATTCTCTCTCGGGAATAGTAAATGTAACAAACGGACATCGACGCGCCATCTATGTATTGCGAGCGAACTCCGTATCCAAACTTTTGTACAATCATTGAGTATGACATAGATAGGCAACTCGACGTGACTTGTACATTTTGTCCAAGTCACTAGATCTAGGGGAATTCACTAAATCTTTATATTTATACGTTCTCCTCGCTTTATAAGTGAATTTCAATTCCAAAGCAGTATTGTATTACATAATTAATTAATTTTTTATTAAATAATCATTTTTATGCGTATTTTTCTTAACATAACAATTATATACCCAATGTTATAAGCGTAACTTGTTATACTTCATGTACTTTGTCTAATTTACTAGATATAGGGGAAATTCTCCAACTTTATACTTTAGTGCTTTCCCTTGTTATATAAGCGATTATTATACCAAAAGCGGTACTTAATTTATAGTTTCCATTAAATGACTGCATCATGTATGCAATTTTTCGTTATTTAGCAAATATATACATAATACCATAGGTGTTACTTGTTATACTTTAAGTACTTGATTAGGTTACTAGATATAGGGAAAATTTACTAGATTTCATATTTTTGCGTATTTTCAATGCACAAATGATTTATGGTGCTAAAATAGTATAATTACATCTTATTTTGTTCAGTTTTTATATAATATAAGCACAATTTGTTATATTTTTATATTTTGTCTATGTTACTAGATATGGGGGAATTTTGTTAAATCCTATGTCTTACGTTTTTCTTTGTTATAGAAGGGATTCTTAACATTGAAATATTATCTTGATGTTTAGTTATTTACAGAATTTATGTTAAGAGCTTAATTAAGCCAATAAGTACCCCCATATCTGGGGAAACGCGATATTTGAACAATTGCTTTGAACTTTCTTTTCTTTTTGCGTTTAGGCGTTATTTGCACACAAAGCATTGTTAGTAATTAATCTTTATTAATTTTATAATATTTAGCATACATTTGTATTGATATATACGGAGGTTCAGTGCATTGTGTTACTGGTATGTATCCTGATGTTGAATATTAGTGGCGTGACTCTTGCGGCTTCTCCTCCTCAATTAGTTTTGAGGAATGGTTGATGGCTATTTCTCGCGCCCTAAATAAATAAATAAACTTAAGCGTTGTCTCCCTATATATCAATTTGAGTTAATAATGCTGCACGGATCCCTGATGTTGCCTGTTTAACATTAGGGGAATCTCTGTAGATCGTTCTACCGCCTTGTAAATTACAATTTAATCTAAATCTAATTGCTGAACTTCAGTTAATTAAGTAGTTGTGATTTTTGCATTGGTTCTCTGTGTTATTGCGTAACACTAGATGAGCCTCGTGCGACTTCCATTATCACTACTAGTAATATATTTAACACCAATATGGAGTCAGTAGAGGATGTTATGATGCGTTTATGTAAAGCTAGGCTCACACCCACCATGCTACTGGGAAGCGCGCTCAATTCAATTATTAAAATGCGACAAAATGATGTTAAATGTAATCGTTCTTTATCTTCGGATGACCTTAATAATGTTGAGGCATGTATTAGGATTATTTATAATCAAGGTCACAAAATGTTTTGCGCTCGTTCGTACTTGCTTGGCAAAGTTGCTAAATATGAACTTCTACTTAAAAATGTTAATTCTGATGAAATTATACGTACAAATTCTCCACCGAAAGATGAAGAGAAGGAAATTGAATTGAGCTCTCGAAGGATACACAATACTTCGCTGGATTCAAACGAAATTAACTCTTTCAATCGTTTAATGGTTGAATCTATAGAGTCTCAACTGTCGGATCTTAATAGAATGATAGAGCTTGATAAGACAGAGGATAACTTGATATATATTAGTCACTCGATAAACAATAAAAGAGCAGAGCTAGATAAGATTAGTGAAGATTTACATGCTATTTCGTGCTCAGTGACTTGTAGCACTAACAACGATACTCTGGACGGATCCCTTTTATGCCAACCCTGCAAGTCTCTGGATTATGAGTATGAGGGAAGGCCACCCTCTAAAAAACCGATTAATTATGATAACATGGCAGACACAATGGAAACGAATACGAACTTACCGTCGCAGGAGGAATTCGGAGCCTCCAGTGATCGGCTCGGCGGAGTTGTCGTCCCCGGCTCCGCCCAGTCGTCATCTCATGAGGGGCTGACCTGTTCGTTGCCGCCGGGCGAACAGGTCAATATGGCTACCGCGGACGATAGTGGACCTGGTGATACGGTCTGCGTACGAATGGAGACTGCCGTAGCGGATAATGAGGCACCAGTCGATCTGCCTGTAAGCAGTGCACTAATGGCGTGTCCGCCTGAAGTTGGCAGAGTTGGCTCAAACACACCATCTGTCGAGTTTGTAGGGAATGTTGCACCTACAGAGCAAGCAGCAAAGCGTAAGGCTGATGAATCCCCAGAAAATGATATTTTCGCTCCAGTTGGTAGAGGTCGTAAAACTCGTGCAATCGAAAGCTCTGATGAACAAGATTCTGTTGATGAGGCACCAAGGAGTAGGTCCAAACCAAGCCCAGTTAAAGAGCGAGTATTGAGCTCTCCCTCTTACGGCAGAGTCAGATTGCATCGTAGATATAAATGTGATAAACTGAGACGTAGTGGCAGGCTTGCGGCTGCTGATAATCAGGAATTGATTGAATCGAGTCCTGTGGTGATCTCAGACGAGGAGGACAATACGGATACTGCTGCGACAAATCCTTCCCTCAGTCAACCTGATGTGCCCAAAACGACGGCTAGGAAAAAGAAGAAGAATTCCCCGCCTAAAACGACGAGTGGAAATATTGATCCCGGATTGAACGACTCGGCCCTTACTGGTGAATCCGATGTTGATATTAGGATTAGTATTGATGAGCTTGTGTCCATGAACAACGCGGAAGTCGCTGAGTATGGTTTATCCTTACTTAATGAAACTGAGGCTTTGCGATCTAAGAGTAAGAACCTCTCTGGCAAGTACAGTGGCCGTTGGAGGCGATATTTAGTGCAGCTAGAGGATGTCGTGCGTGCTTTTAGCCGTAAGGTGCAATCTCAGGGCGATGTCAACTACCTGAAACGTAGGAATCAGGAGCTCCTGGATCAAATGAAAGACATGCAAAAACGCGAGGAGGAAACGCAAGCTGAACTCAGACGCGTTAATAATATGATGGCTGACATGCAGAAACGGATAAGTTCGCTTGAGGAAGTCCGTAATGAAATGCCCAAAACAAATAGGGCTAATAAAACTAGAGTGCATATTGCCGAGTATGATGATACTGGCTCTTCTTCGGCTCGATCCCCCTCTGTAGATTTTAGAGGGAGGAATGAGAACAGCACTGTGGAGCGGGCTTTAGAAACTGCAGGGTCGACATGTAGTCCGCCCCATCTACAAGCAGAGACGGCCCATCTTATATAGCGTCTAGGGTGTTTCGTAATACGAAAAATGAACCTAAGGTGCCTGATAATAGGGCTTTTCGTCCTCCCCTGAAGACTTCGCTGGACAAAGGGATCAGGATTGTTGAAAACAGACAAGTTGTTCCCCCTAATGTAGTGAGGCGTAAACCTGTTTCTCCGAGAATCATGCCTGCGGTGGGAGGGGGGGAAAATTTCCCTCCCCTTCCTTCGTCTTCCTACTCTCGACGGCATTCCAGGAACTCTTTGGATACAGTGGTTAGTGGCCGACGGCCTGATGGTGATAGCAGGCCTATGATTGGTAAGCCTAAGGTTGGCAGGCGCAAGGTTGCTGTAGTTACCCTTACCAGCAAAACAGGTACAAATGCCTCATATGCGGACATTCTTGGAGCAGCTAGGAGGAACACCTCTTTGGATACTCTAGGAATTCAAGAAACTAGGATTCGCCGCGCCTTTAACGGAGGCTATAAGATTGAGGTCCCCGGCGCTAATGGTGCTGAGTTAGCCGGTAAATTGAAGGACCACCTGGAGGTGATTCTTCAAGATGTTGCTAAAGTGGATAACCCTGTTGCTCGTGGGGAACTTAAAATAACTGGCCTGGCTCCCTCTACCTCAACTGAGGAGATTAGGGAGCAATTGGCGCAGATTAGCTGTTTTCCTCCAATGGCTTTTGGTATCAGTGAGGTCAAAACTATGCGTGACGGCATGGGCATTGTATGGGTACAATGTCCCTTAAATGCTGCGATTGCTGTTGCCGAAGTTGGGCGGCTGCGTATTGGCTGGACATCGGCGAGAGTCGAGTTACTGAAGAAACGTCCAGTCCAATGTTTCAAATGTTGGAGATTTGGACACGTCCGTACAAACTGTGCTGCCCCCGAGGATAGATTCGGGTCGTGTTTCAGATGCGGTAACAGTGCGCATAAAGCTAAGGATTGTTCTGCCTCCCCCCACTGTGTTATATGCTCTGATATTGGTAAGAGCTGCAATCACCGTATTGGTTCATTCATTTGTCTAGTCAATAATGGCTATGATAATGCTAAGCGTGTGAATCAAAGGCAACCGGTACAACTCGCTACACATGGTTATTAACATACTACAATGTAATCTTAATAGGTCATGGCAAGCATTAGATCTCCTGCGTCAACAATCTATTGAGCTTGGAATTAATTTATGTGTGATTTCTGAACCTCCTTACGGCTCTAGTGTTCCTGCTGACTGTTATTATAGCGAAGATGGCACAGCCGCCATAATGGTTGTTAAAAGTAACTTCAAATATAAAATGTATATATGTATAGATAATGTTATTGTATTAGAGTGCTCTGATTTTTACGTGGTATCTTGCTACATATCACCCAATAGCTCTCGAATTAAGTTTGAGGCGTTTGTTGATAGCCTGGATGGTATACTTAAACAGTTGTGCTACAAGAAAGTGTTGGTATGCGGAGATTTCAACTCTAGGTCTCTTCACTGGGGTTCGAAGTTAACCGATAGAAGAGGTTCGCTTATAGACCTCACGATGTCATCGAATGGTCTATTGCTAGTTAACATAGGTGATCAACCTACCTGTATTCGGCCCCAGGGTTCCTCAGTCGTGGACTTAACTTGGTCTTCCTGTAATATGATAAGAGATATATGTGATTGGCAAGTTAGAAGCGGTATGGAGACTTTGTCTGATCATGTGTATATAACATTTACATATCGCGATCAACTTGGTATTCGGTCGTCATCCAGTCTTCCACCAAACAGCTGGAACTTCAAGAAAATGGACAAGCCTCTTTTTGTGGAATGCCTTGAGTGGTACTGCTGCTTGAACTCATCGCCTTTCTTAGATGACAATTCAGTGGACCCTATGGTTGACTGGATCAATGGAACCATTGCTGACGCGTGTAACGCATCTACACCCCGCTCGAAGAGGAACAACAAAAGGTGTTGCTACTGGTGGTCCGAAGAAATTAGTGATCTTAGGAGAGCAGCTATTGCTGACAGACGAGCTCTTACTCGAGCTAAAAGGAAGCAAAATGATGTGCGTATTAGAAGTTCATATGATAAATATAGAGTGTCGAAAAGAAATTTACGTATTGCTATTAACAAGGCAAAAAATGCGGCGTGGAATGAGCTAATGGGCACCCTAAATACTGATCCGTGGGGACTGCCGTATAAACTGGTTCTTAATCGGCTGCGTAAATCTGGTGACAATCTGGCCAGGTCTATCTCTGGTGCTGAATTGTCTAGGCTTCTTGGAGACTTGTTTCCGTCGAATAGATTTGGGTTCGATTCTCTTCCTTTAGATGTTGTTTGGTCTGAGGAATGGGATGTAACCCCAGGCGAGGTACATAGTTATCTTAAAAAGAGATTAGCCCGTAATGTCGCACCGGGGCCCGATGGAATAAAATCTACGGCCCTTAAAGCTGTTCCTTGGTCACTGGTTCGTATATTGGCAGCCTGTTATACCCGATGCCTAAGACTGGGTATCTTTCCATCAAGGTGGAAACTAGCTAATTTAGTATTGATTCCAAAAGGAGTTGCGAGTCCTAATGCTCCAGTTAAAGCGAGACCAATATGCCTATTGGATGAGCTAGGCAAAACTTTTGAAAGAATCATAGTTGATAGGATTCAATATTGGCTCACAGAAAATCCGGTTTATGATTTATCTCCATGTCAATATGGCTTTAGGCGCAACAAATCAACTGTTGATGCTCTTATGAACCTAAGACATTTTACGTCGTCAGCGTTGGAAGAAGGCAAGGTAGCAATAGCAGTGAGTCTTGACATCAAGAATGCCTTTAATTCGGTCCCTTGGGGAGTAATTCGTAAGGCATTAAACGATCGTAGTATTCCTGGTTACTTGTGCAATATAATTAACAGCTACCTAAGTGATAGATATATTACTTACCTGGATGGAGATGGTGTGCAGTGTAGAAGGAAGGTGGATTCTGGAGTTCCGCAGGGTTCCGTAATGGGTCCCTTACTTTGGAACCTGGCTTTTGACGACGTTCTTCATTTGCTGCTTGAGCCTGGTTGTCAGATTATTTGTTACGCTGATGATACCTTGATAGTCTCTACTGCTGACACTATTGATATGGCAGTTTTAAAAGTTGATATTCAGTTGGCCAGGATACTTCGGCATATTCGTTATATCCAACTTGAAGTTGCTGAGGCTAAGACAGAAGCCGTTCTGTTCTGTTATAGGAAACCGCCCAGCATGCCGGTCATCACATGTGGTAACTCTAATATTAAAGTCAAAACCACCATGAAATACTTAGGTGTAATGGTGGATAGTAGGTGGTCCTTTGGTGCTCATTTTAGCTATGTTGAGGAAAAGGCGTCGAAGATCTTACGCTCCTTATCTAGGCTGATGCCTAATTTGAGAGGACCTCTATTCAAAAAGAGACGGCTCTATGCCAACGTTATAACGTCCATCGTTATGTATGCAGCTCCAGTGTGGGCGGACAAGTATTACGTTGCACCATACAAGGAGACACGCATGTTACGTGCACTGCAACGTAGGACTGCAATTCGCGTGATATCGGCTTATCGTACGGTATCATATAATGCGGCATGTTTAATTGCTGGTATGCCTCCATGGCCCTTAACTGCAACGTGTAGAAGAAGAGTCTACCTGCGTGTGATCGAACTCCGAGATGCTCCGGAATGGAACCCTCGTCACATCTTAGAGATCAAGGAAGAAGAGGAAGTGATTATGATGCGCCAATGGGACATCTCCATCAGACGTCGGGACTCTCCTGGAGAAACTACTATATCGGCTATTGGACCGGTTTTGACTCAATGGTGCCAGAGAGGTTTCGGCAACGTGAACTTCCATCTCACGCAAATCCTAACGGGGCATGGATGTTTCGGCCATTATTTATATCGAATGGGTAAAAGATGGTTACCCAGGTGTCAACAATGTGTCAATGTTGATGACACAATGGAGCACACGCTGGTCTCCTGCAGAGCATGGAGATATGAGCGTGAAAGACTAGTAAATGTGTTGAACATTGAGATCGATTCACTCAGTCTAATTAACGTTATTAAGGAAATTATTGTATCGGAGGAAAAGTGGATCGCTTTTAATGAATTTGTTAATTGTATTATGCGTGGTAAGGAGGAGGATGAGAGGAGAATTCAAGCTCTTCTCCTCTCACCTACCTCAGACTAGTTGAGGCTGACATGTCTCGTTTGTTACATGCATGTTAGTCAAATTCTTATCGTTGTCAATAACTCTATGTCATTTTAACTGTGAAAACCCACATTGAAGAGCAGCAGGCATTGTAGATGGGGTGTCTGCATGCCATTGCACGCTGCCTTCAAGGTGGGCTGAATGGACTTGCATTGCAGGTGGCGCAGGTCTCATTCAATTAGTTGGTAATTTAATTAATTAATCGAGTGCACATTAAGTGCTCCCTTGGAGGCTGCCTGGAAGTAATGCGTTAGCGGTTCCCAGGCAGTCTCTTAATGGTTAGGATGCCACACGACGGGTTTAGTGGGTCGGGTCAGGACCTTCTGTCCTCACCCATCCCCACATAACGAAGCCTCTCCCCCGAGGTGGAGTATGTGTTGAGCACATTCCCGTCGCTAAAAAAAAAAAAAAAAAAAAAGGTTAGGTTAGGTTAGGTAGGTCGAGAGACTATGTCCTCGGTACACGTGTACTAAGTACGCTCCGTATAGTAGTACATATTAAAGTAAGTTAAAGTGCGTTTTGAGTGCAAAAACAGTTCTGGTCTATTGTTTGTAGTGCAAAGACCAACAGCAAATGGAGTCAAATTGTTTAAACAATTATTTTAATTGTTATAAGCCTCCAAAGTCGTCACACGTGCTCTGCCTGTCTAGTGATTTTTTGACAGGCAGCTTAACACGTAAAGTTTAAGATAAAAGTTTATTAGATCTGATGTATTTTGTCCTGGGATTATTTGTTACATCGAATTTTATCATATACATTAATCTCAGGCGATTCTATATATTATTTAATTGATAATAAGTGATTTTCTGTTGAGACTATTGATGTCTCTCTTGCTCTTATAGACACATATTATAAGGGCATATTGTGAATACTACATAGTTGTTAAATGTGGGAAAGTAATTTTAACACATTCTTATTGTCAATAAGTAGTGCCTGTGGAAATTTGCACTGTCAGAGTTGCATAATTCTGTTTAAATCAGTTGTTTTCAACTCTGACTGTCGCTGTCTTTCTTACTCCTATGGATCTGGAGTAAAAGTTTATTTTTGAGGTGATACATACTTTTCCTACATGTGAATACATTTTTAATGTATTGTTGCTGTTATTTGTCAACGATCAGTGAAATTCTGATAGTGGAAACCTGCTAGTTTAATAATAAAAGGCAGCTAAAATCTCGGACTATTGCTATCCTTGTTGCACTAGGGGCAAATCTGTCAAAAATTTTTGGAGTCTCCAACAGCCCAGTCTGGATTTTTCACGGTAAAGTGAATATTTTATATAAGTTCCTAATGACGGCAAGAGGTTAGTTTGTGATTGACAATTGTTGAAATCATTTCAGTTATTGTTAAATTAGCTTTAGAAAATCAACAAATTTTCTAACTAGATTAATGCGCTCGCGTGTTCAATTCTGAGTTGGCTACATTGCCTCTACATTTGTTGGCGGCATACTATTGGCCTGGTTATTTATGGCTATGGCCGTTTGAAATGTGCTATTCCAAATTGATTGTTAGAGATAATAACATTTTTCTTTGACTTGTTAACAATGTTCCTATAATTACAATAGCTTAGTGTATATATAGACTATATTAATTAATTAATCAGACTTAGTTTAAGGAAGTAATAAAATTAACACGTGGCGTTGGAATCATACGGCGCATATGATCTGCGCAGTGCGCGCGTGCTCAGGTGGGTTGGCAACTTGCTTGCTGCTTGCTGGCAAGCTATCATTGGCTGAAGGCGATAAGCCGCGTATTTTTGAGTCATACAATAAATGATATATTAAAATATTATTAATAAATTAGATATCAGATAGTCACTGACTAACTAATAATTAACATTGGTTATCTAAGTCATTAGGTAATAATTTTACAATAAATTTTATAACTGGTGAATGATACCAAAATTATAAGTACTGTACAGAGATTTAATTAATTAATTGATTAACAAATGATAGTGCATATACATTCATTGTATAATTGAAATAGACTGAGTTGTTAAAAGCCTATTGAAGCTATTTCACAAGTAAGTAATATTGGCAGTTATTATAACTGATACAAGTTGGATATCTACTGATCGATATATACAATCTATATTTGATAACTAGTTATTAAATAGCAATTTAAATAAATAAACAGTGTATTCAATACTAATTAACTAAGTGCTGTTATATAGTGACTTAACTAATTAATTAATAGATACTTAAATATATGCTGTATTAATTAAACTAAGTTGAATTTATAAAGGAAATTCACTCAAACTGTTTATATCTGATTGAGTTAGTGGACATTATAATTTAAATGAATTTTGGATATTCATTAAATAATAAACTAGTAATACAGATAAATTTAGACGTTATGTGCTTTATGAACGTATTAAATAGTGAATACAATATAAGTCTCATGTAATATACGGTGTCTTACTCAACTAATTGACAAATAGAATATATTATAAACTAGACTTAAGTGAGAAACCTACTGTAACTTCTCAATACGCGTAAATTAGTTGGGGCCTAGTGTCTTTCCATATTAGACAATATTCTGCAGTGTCTCTTCATATTGGACAGTATTCTGCAATGAGTTGTACGTATATTGCTGCTATGCTTTCTTATGTGATGTAGTGATTGCCTTCTTCATTCATTTAATAGAAGAAAATAATATTGTTAGCTGGTCTCATTTAAGATCTATATAATAAGTAAATAGGTTGGCTGTTAATGCTAATATATAGGAAGTGTACAAACATTGGTGCAGGTTCTTCTATATATATAGTATACACTATATGATATGAGATTTCAGTGCTCTTCATGTGGCTGTTCTTATTAAATCATGTTTTGATCGTTTCTCTGAAATAAATACGTAGTAATTTAGCAGTAGTTTTAGTGCCTACTAATAGATATTAACTAAATGGAATATATATATATACATTTAATATAGTATACAATGATTGTGAATTTTTTATACTCACACATTTTGATGAGCCTTTAATTAAGTGATCTTGACTTCAAATTCCTTTGAAGATAACATATGCAATAATTGAGGAGGATTCCTCATTCGAAGAGCATCGGAGCCTTGGTGGATGGTTGTATTACATATATACTTTATCCTCCTTATGACTCTGTGTAACAAATAACCTTCTGTAGGAATTATATTGATATATGGAACTGTATATATATATACTTATATATAAATTTTATGATTGTTTATATTTCTGAGATAAATATATAGTGATTCGAATAAGTATTCATCATAGATTGTGGTTCTATAAATATAGACATCCACATATATGTATTCTGAATAAATGACTTATTTGTCTACTTAGTGAATAATCTAGTTCTAATGCTATAAGTTAAGTGCATCTTTTGTCCGAATAGGCAATCTACAATATTTTGATTATTAATACTCTTATAGGTCTTATATAGCAATTAGCTACAATTTACAAGACTGTAATTAATAATACACTTTCTATACTTTTGAGATAATAAATAAATATCTGATTTCAAATTATATAAGTTTTTAATCTATTAATTGTGTTATTTGATAAATCGGTGAAAGTGCGCGAATACAACTCGCCTAGCGTTAATAATTATGACTGACATACTACTAAATACGACATATAATGTGTGCAATCAATTGTTAAATGGTGGTATGTAACTGAGTGAATATCTCATCTTTTGACATTATAACGTGGCCTCATCATCCTGGTCTCCCTTGGAGGTGCCATATGGTGTATGAAGCCTTCTGGAGGCTACTGGTTGTTCATGTGAAGATATTTCTTCATACATCCGATGATCTGCAAAAGATAAGTGTCTACATATATGTCTGCGTGGTTGTTTTTAAAGTTTATATATGGGCATGCAGAGTCACTTGAGGATAGCTCTGTAAACCCATAATAATAATCATATAATTGACTTATTGATAAATACTCACACATGGATAATGAATAGAAACAAGTTATGTGATAGATTTATAAATAATCAGTTAAACATTTTGTTTTAATTTTTTAATAATATTATAAATTTGGATTAAATTGTAAATTCGTTAACTGAGACGTTAAGTTCTATATATTATTATCTAATATAAGTTAAATTCTATTTCTATAAATAATCATGGACTGACACTAAAACTCTTACATTATTGTCACGTGCGGGGTACTACGGTGCTGTATTCCTTATACTTGTACTTGGTGCCTCAATTTCTTGTGTGCCTTTAGCCGGTTGTCGACATTTCATACACTGTTGTGCCTGTACAAATGCATGGATACATATAAGTAACTGACATGTGATACTTCAATAATTATCATATGTGTTTCGCTGTGTAACTTTATATTATATTAAATATTGACAGTTATTAACTGTTCTTACAATAACATTGACTAGTAATGTTTAAGTTCATAATTTTCTTATTAATCTAAAACTGAGTTTAAAGTATTAATGATAACCGGATATTACTAAATAGCATTGAATTTGCAAGTGGAACAATTATTTCTTATGTTACTAAACACTAATTATTTTACGATATTAATTCAAGTCATCTTAGTTATTATTAATAATATTTGAAATAGCTTATCTTGAAGTAAATAGTATTCTATGAGTAAAGATACATTTATTACACACAGCAATCAATTATCTGATTGTTCATATAGTGATGTGGAATACGCGTATTGAAACATATAAATATAATAAATGACTTATTTGATAACATTTTATCATATAATAAAGCTGTGATTGTGTGGCATTAACCGCCACAAGCTATCTCAGTGATAATTAATCATTAAGTGGTTGTCTCACAGTGAACTGACATTTTATTAAGCCTATAGTGCTTAGAGTATATATTTTGATTTGATAAAGTAGTATGTGATGTGAGAATCAATTCTATAGTCATTCACTTATACAACTGACATTTTTAGTTGTAAATGATATAATAATACTTGACTATTGCTAATAATAATTAAGTATAAACTCTTACATTAGTAATGCTTTTGGAATATTGGATGTATTTTGCATCCATATTATAGTGACTTGAATTCATCTAATGTTTGAACCCATTGATGGTTTCTATTACTGCATTCTCTCGGTTCTATCTGAAAAAGGAGTAAATATTTGATATTTGACACTTTGTCAATAGACTTTTATGCAGTATATTGTGTAATTTATACAATACAAATTTCTCTTGTATAACTCTGAATTGTGACTAGATGCGCGTATTGGACAATATTTCTTAATTGAGTATACATAAGTGCAACTAGGTGTGCGGTGAAATGAATTGCTGTTCTAGACTTTATTAATTATTTGAATATTGAATTGATATTAAATAGCTCAAAAGGTGTTTGGTTTTTGATAACTATTTCAACATAATAGTCAATATCTAATGTTAATTGATATTAAGAGGCCGTAGTGATTAAATATCGAACTGAGTAATAACACTCTTCAATTAACTAGACTTACGTTCTAATGTCTTACACGTGGTAATCTGACTAATTGTTGGATTTACCAGTACTACTGGTCCTTTATCTGTATATCTGAAACACGAAAATAGTATGTGAACTGTTATGATAAGCAAAACTTTATATATAATCACATATTAATAAATAACTGTGTTAGACATTATTAACCTTATTAACCTAAGTACTTAAATTGACATTTAAATAGCCGAGAGTGTCTGGCTTTAAATAATTTATTTGTCATAATATAACAATGCAATACCTGAATATCAATTGATATTGATAGATTTGTAGTGTTAGTATACTGACTTTGAGTTGGAGATTTTTGTAACTAGACTTACGCTCTAGTGCTATTCTTGCGATATCCTGACTTTTTGATAAGCGACATCCTCATTGGATACTGGCCCTTGCCCGTGCTCCTAAAAAGTACAAATAGTTAGGGATTTGTGCTACGATAAGTAGAATTCTATACAGTTATCTACCAATAATGGTTTGTACTAGTTACTATTAATTTAAATACCTAAATTAATATTAAACAGCTTAGAAGTTATATTGACTCTAAATAGTATATCTACTAACATTATAGACAATATTTAAATATTAAATGATAGTGTAAAATTTACAGTGCTAAAATATTGAATTTTGAATAAGTAACACTAAATAGATCTGTGCTGTAGTGTCTTACCGTGGAGACTCGTTTTTGATATCTAATGACCTTGTCATATTGTTAGTCCTCCGCTTGAGTGTCTGAAACACACAATTAATAAGTAATTTGTGATGTGATAGTGGAATTTATATAACTACACATCAATTATAGACACTTATGCCAAATATTATCAACCTAAATACTTAAAATGACATTAAATAGCCTTGAAGACATTTGGTCTTAAATAATTCATTTACCATAATACACTGGGGCTGCGTCTCAGTTCCTCACCTGTGATATTTGACGTTGATATCTAATAACCTTACCAATATTATTAGTCTCCTGTTTGTGTACCTGAAACATACAAATAATAAATTATCTACTTAATGATTGAATCACGGATGATGGGCTGCGTGACTATATTAACCCCAAGTTATGCTGGTGATAATCGGCTATAATAATTAACGGACCTACAATATTGTAATATCTTTAGTTAATTTATATTGTTTAGTTCATACCTTGTTTATGAGGATTCATTTATGACTGTACAATTAATGATTGCCCTTGACATCTGTGATGCGATAGTGCAATTTGCCTTTGTAAGGTTATACGCGTTGGTTGCATTCTGTGTGGTTGGAGCATTCTCCTTGTTGTTGCATTTGATGTGTGATAAATTCTGGGAGAGTGTTCTGTCCAACAGTGCTAATATATTAGTATTAACCTAATATAGTTTAATATATACATTAATTCTGAATTTTGACTATTGTTGCCATCATTATTGATGATTGAGTAATATTACCTTGCACTGCACCAATTGTGTGCTGTTGAGATGATATAATTATTTAAATGTGTATCCTTTGATTTTTGCATCGTTGAAGTGACATGTAAGAGTTGAGGTTATAGACTCTCTCCCAATTGAATTCTCTCTCGGGAATAGTAAATGTAACAAACGGACATCGACGCGCCATCTATGTATTGCGAGCGAACTCCGTATCCAAACTTTTGTACAATCATTGAGTATGACATAGATAGGCAACCGACGTGACTTGTACATTTTGTCCAAGTCACTAGATCTAGGGGAATTCACTAAATCTTTATATTTATACGTTCTCCTCGCTTTATAAGTGAATTTCAATTCCAAAGCAGTATTGTATTACATAATAATTATTATTTTTTTATTAAATAATCATTTTTATGCGTATTTTCTTAACATAACAATTATATACCCAATGTTATAAGCGTAACTTGTATACTTCATGTACTTTGTCTAATTTACTAGATATAGGGGAAATTCTCCAACTTTATACTTTAGTGCTTTCCCTTGTTATATAAGCGATTATTATACCAAAAGCGGTACTTAATTTATAGTTTCCATTAAATGACTGCATCATGTATGCAATTTTTCGTTATTTAGCAAATATATACATAATACCATAGTGTTACTTGTTATACTTTAAGTACTTGATTAGGTTACTAGATATAGGGAAAATTTACTAGATTTCATATTTTTGCGTATTTTCAATGCACAATGATTTATGGTGCTAAAATAGTATAATTACATCTTATTTTGTTCAGTTTTTATATAATATAAGCACAATTTGTTATATTTTTATATTTTTGTCTATGTTACTAGATATGGGGGAATTTTGTTAAATCCTATGTCTTACGTTTTTCTTTGTTATAGAAGGGATTCTTAACATTGAAATATTATCTTGATGTTTAGTTATTTACAGAATTTATGTTAAGAGCTTAATTAAGCCAATAAGTACCCCCATATCTGGGGAAACGCGATATTTGAACAATTGCTTTGAACTTTCTTTTCTTTTTGCGTTTAGGCGTTATTTGCACACAAAGCATTGTTAGTAATTAATCTTTATTAATTTTATAATATTTAGCATACATTTGTATTGATATATACGGAGGTTCAGTGCATTGTGTTACTGGTATGTATCCTGATGTTGAATATTAGTGGCGTGACTCTTGCGGCTTCTCCTCCTCAATTAGTTTTGAGGAATGGTTGATGGCTATTTCTCGCGCCCTAAATAAATAAATAAACTTAAGCGTTGTCTCCCTATATATCAATTTGAGTTAATAATGCTGCACGGATCCCTGATGTTGCCTGTTTAACATTAGGGAATCTCTGTAGATCGTTCTACCGCCTTGTAAATTACAATTTAATCTAAATCTAATTGCTGAACTTCAGTTAATTAAGTAGTTGTGATTTTTGCATTGGTTCTCTGTGTTATTGCGTAACACTAGATGAGCCTCGTGCGACTTCCATTATCACTACTAGTAATATATTTAACACCAATATGGAGTCAGTAGAGGATGTTATGATGCGTTTATGTAAAGCTAGGCTCACACCCACCATGCTACTGGGAAGCGCGCTTAATTCAATTATTAAGATGCGACAAAATGATGTTAAATGTAATCGTTCTTTATCTTCGGATGACCTTAATAATGTTGAGGCATGTATTAGGATTATTTATAATCAAGGTCACAAAATGTTTTGCGCTCGTTCGTACTTGCTTGGCAAAGTTGCTAAATATGAACTTCTACTTAAAAAATGTTAATTCGTGTTAATATACATACATCTCTCCACCGAAAGATGAAGAGAAGGAAATTGAATTGAGCTCTCGAAGGATACACAATACTTCGCTGGATTCAAACGAAATTAACTCATCCAATCGTTTAAATGGTTGAATCTATAGAGTCTCAACTGTCGGATCTTAATAGAATGATAGAGCTTGATAAGACAGAGGATAATTTGATATATATTAGTCCTCGATAAACAATAAAAGAGCAGAGCTAGATAAGATTAGTGAAGATTACATGCTATTTCGTGCTCAGTGACTTGTAGCACTAACAACGATACCCTGGACGGATCCCTTTTATGCCAACCCTGCAAGTCTCTGGATTATGAGTATGAGGGAAGGCCACCCTCTAAAAAACCGATTAATTATGATAACATGGCAGACACAATGAAACGAATACGAACTTACCGTCGCAGGAGGAATTCGGAGCCTCCAGTGATCGGCTTGGCGGAGTTGTCGTCCCCGGCTCCGCCAGTCGTCATCTCATGAGGGGGCTGACCTGTTCGTTGCCGCCGGCGAACAGGTCAATATGGCTACCGCGGACGATAGTGGACCTGGTGATACGGTCTGCGTACGAATGGAGACTGCCGTAGCGGATAATGAGGCACCAGTCGATCTGCCTGTAAGCAGTGCACTAATGGCGTGTCCGCCTGAAGTTGGCAGAGTTGGCTCAAACACACCATCTGTCGAGTTTGTAGGGAATGTTGCACCTACAGAGCAAGCAGCAAAGCGTAAGGCTGATGAATCCCCAGAAAATGATATTTTCGCTCCAGTTGGTAGAGGTCGTAAAACTCGTGCAATCGAAAGCTCTGATGAACAAGATTCTGTTGATGAGGCACCAAGGAGTAGGTCCAAACCAAGCCCAGTTAAAGAGCGAGTATTGAGCTCTCCCTCTTACGGCAGAGTCAGATTGCATCGTAGATATAAATGTGATAAACTGAGACGTAGTGGCAGGCTTGCGGCTGCTGATAATCAGGAATGATTGAATCGAGTCCGTTGTGATCTCAGACGAGGAGGACAATACGGATACTGCTGCGACAAATCCTTCCCTCAGTCAACCTGATTTGCCCAAAACGACGGCTAGGAAACGAAGAAGAAATTCCCGCCTAAAACGACGAGTGGAAATATTGATCCCGATTGAACGACTCGGCCCTTACTGGTGAATCCGATGTTGATATTAGGATTAGTATTGATGAGCTTGTGTCCATGAACAACGCGGAAGTCGCTGAGTATGGTTTATCCTTACTTAATGAAACTGAGGCTTTGCGATCTAAGAGTAAGAACCTCTCTGGCAGTACAGTGGCCGTTGGAGGCGATATTTAGTGCAGCTAGAGGATGTCGTGCGTGCTTTTAGCCGTAAGGTGCAATCTCAGGGCGATGTCAACTACCTGAAACGTAGGAATCAGGAGCTCCTGGATCAAATGAAAGACATGCAAAAAACGCGAGGAGGAAACGCAAGCTGAACTCAGACGCGTTAATAATATGATGCTGACATGCAGACGATAAGTTCGCTTGAGGAAGTCCGTAATGAAATGCCCCAAAACAATAGGGCTAATAAA